CTCGGCACTCACTGTCCACTTTTCTTTTCTTTGGCCCGCTCATTTGTACAGAAGGGTTCATCCGGGTTCTTAAGGGAGTAATACACCACACTCTGAAGTGCGCCATCTATTGGGGAAACGCGGGCATTACAGGGGAAAACAAACGAGGTTTAATTATAATAACATTTAATTTAATAATAATATAATTTGGACAAGTTCGGCGGGCCGGATTAAAAAGCCCAACGGGCCGTATATGGCCCGCGGGCCACAGTTTGCACATGCCTGGCCTAGACGGTATAAGTACTACCACATTTTTCCATAGAATCTTAAAGCTTTCTCAATTTTTTTTGTTTGAATCAAACATTTTTCCTCCTGTTTTTTGGGTAGACAGGAAGGTCAGATTTGTGTTTATTTTAAACATCAGGTGAGATTTCTTTCATTTCTAGTTAGCAGAGATTTTGTTGGTTATTTCGGAGCACCCTGAAGTCATTGCTTCCTTTCTATTGATTATCTTTCTAAAATACATATCTGCTTAAATATTTGATCTATTGTTGTTGTAAAAAAAAACAAAAAAAACAAAAAAAACATAAAAATAAGATGAATTAAAAAGTGCGGGATGTGATATAAAGTATTTGATTTTGGTTTGATTTTAAAGAATGTTTTAGATATCATAAAATACATTAAGTTTTGATGATTTAAACATCTTTGTTTTCAAATGTTCTGTAAATTCACCACTGACGTTATCTTTAGATTTCATTCTTTGACACTGAACATGATCTGAGTTCCCAAATAGAACATTAAAGGTTTTCTACCTTTTCTGTTAAGTTTTGGTATCTTGTATGTGACCTGTGATCTTTACATATGTTTTCTAACCACTCCTAAAACATTTTGATGTTATGTGGACGGTGTTAAAACGATGTTATTGTCTATCATGGGTGAAACTCAGAGGCCATGTACTTAAAGAAGGTAATTGGTAAACACCTCAAAGAGAAATTAAAATCATGTTCAAACTTTTCTCCCTTTAAAGAAAAATAAAGCTAAATATTAAAAACGAGGGAACTGTTAGTACGTATTTTCATGGATTCATTCATCTTGATAATTTTGTGGACATATCTTTAAATTCTGTCAACCATCTCACAGTAATTCTACTTTTGGGTCTGTGAAGCTGTAACCTTATATGATGAAACATGTAAATTGTAGCAGATCTGTGTTTGGATAGGAGCCAACTATATGTTGTCAACAACTGTTTGGTAGACAGAGAGTCTACATCTGATACGTATACAAATCAGTGTCATGTCATCTTTATTGTTTTATAGTGATGTACCCAAATGGAAAGGAATTTGTTGGCTGTACCTTCTAGCAGAATATAAGCCACACTGTGTGATGAAGACTTTGGTCCATTTTGCCATTTTGCCAATGATTGTCAATGATTGTGAGATCTTGGTCAGCGTGGGTCAGCGATGGTCTGCACTTTGTCAGCCATGTGTGTTGTGTTTCTGTGTTGTCTGACCATGGCTGAATAAATCTAAGATGATCCACAGTCTGTTTCACGTTTTCATAATTGTCCATCTACTACAGAAATAACCCCCACCTAACAGTAACTGTCAGGAACATATTTTACAGGCTCAATCTTGGAGCAGGATTTTGTTTTTCTTTAACTTTTAGAGCAGCTTTTTCTGTTCTTCAAAAATGTTTCTGTCAGTTTCTGTTTTTTTAAACAAACATACTTAGAGTTGTCAGTCTTATTTTTCTGAAGTTCTCAGAAATATAAATGCCTCTGTACTTGACTCCTTCTTTTCATCTGAATTTCTGTACATAAATAAACTGAGACATGTTCATCTCTTCACTGACTGACAGGATGTTTTTGTTTTGTTATTTATAGATTGTACTTTAACAAGTCCAGGCACAAGGAGTGCAGTGTGCGTTATATACACTGCAAATATGTGTCACATTGTCAGTTCACTTTGTCTCACATTCCTGCAGTAAGATTTTAACTTGCTTTCTTGCAATGAAATCCTTTTTTAGGATTAACACAGTGAAATATCAGACGAGGCAAAGTCAGAAGTTACTAAGCAACAGAATCAGTCGGCTACTTGGCTCAGTTGAGTGGTTGACACACAGTTCTCTCATGTTGTGCAGGAAAATACAGCAGAGTTTAGTCTCTGGGTTTTAAGTGAAAGACACGTTACAGCTAAATGTTCAGTTCAAGTTAACTGACGAATAATTTGAGTGACTTTTGTTTTATTGTAGCCACATAATGACATTAAACAAGAAGAGAGACAATGTGTGTGCCAATTGAAAAGACATAAGGACATATTTTGACTATGTAATGACATGAAATAACTAGAATATCAGCTCACACCAAATACATATTGTTATATTATTAAATATACTTTATGGTCTGATTGATCATTTTCAGTTAATTTAAACTATTAAGATTATAGTACCTTCAGCTCAAGTCATAAGTCCATGAGGACTGACCGTAGACTGTTAGAGACACTGCGCTCCCTCTAGTGGACACATAGAAAACTACAACAACACAATCAAACAGAACACATCGTTTTATTTCTGTTTTTGTTGTGACTGGGAGAGCGAAAGTTTGTAAAGTTTCATTGTGTATCTTGTTAGTTTATTTGTTCTGTTAAAGTTGTTAAAAAGATCAACGTTATACATTCATGTTAGTTAGAAGAAAGCTCTTTTTACAAACCGTTGACCGGAAGCACTCGTTTGCTGTTCTGTATGAGTTTTACAGTTGATTGAATGTTGCTGAGTGAGCCGTTAAAACAACACCGCCCTCATGTGGCCACAGGACGTTACTGCACTGAAGTCGAGTCAAGACAAAACACCGTTTTTCTTATTGTTAAACTTGGTTTTATATATTATTTTACATCTATTTATTTTATTTGACCTTTTATATATTACATAACCTCCATTTGTTTTCATTGAACCTTTAATATCATATAATTTATCATATCGTTTAAAGTTTTCTTTACTTTTCTTCAAAATATGTGAGTTACCCTTAAATAGTTTATGAGTTATTCTCTGTGTTAATTCAGCAGCAGATTTGGAGAAGTTTTTAGATTACTAGATAATGTTTGTGATTGATCTATCTTGGTTAATCTTTTTCCAGTTCTTACCAGTTAAACCAGTTAAACCAGTTAAAACAAAAGAATGGACTCCTCATCATCTGTGCTCTCTTGTGCTTATCGACAGATCACTGATGACTGACTGATTGGTATGAATCATAGACTGTAAATATTATGAATCCCTAAACTTGTGAACCCCAGAGCCCCCTAGACTGTAAATGTAAAGGGCGGAGCCCCACAGAGTAAAAGTACTTCCGGTCACTGACATAAAAAAAATAAAAAAAACCTTTTCAACAACACACATTGACCTTTGTTACCGTTCCTTTGAGCCTTTTGACATCAGTTTATGATCCACAACCACTTCCTGTTTCTGTGCTTTAGTTCATTAACTAGACTCTTCTCCTCTGTCGCCCCCTACTGGTGAAAGGAACTAAACTCCATTCGATCTGCAGAGTCCCTCTGCACCTTTAAGAAAAAGCTAAAGACCCAGCTCTTTATGACCACCTACCACCTTAATGATATTATTGATGATGATGGTTTTGTTTGATAATGATGATGAAGATATTTAGGATAGTTTTGATGCTGATTAGATCTCTGAAGAACAGCTGTCGATGTTGTGCTCTGCCTCTGGAGTGATATTTTTGGATAGGTAGTCGAATTTAAATCAGGAGAGACGAGTGAATTAAGAAAAAAATGATTTATTATAATGGATAAGATGGAAATGTGACTTGACAGAAATACTTTGGAGCTTGGACTCTATGGGGGTGATTGATGTTTGAAGAATAACAATTCTGAGTGTTGACAGAATAAATCCCCTGATGGAGTCCAGACCCTGGTGGTGCTGAAGCTGAGGACATGATGAGACCGGATGGGTGAAGAGTTGATGGATGATGATTCTGTGAAAACGGGCGGTGATGGGGAGGTGGAGGGGCGCACGAAACATCAACATGAAGGAACTAAAGGCAGAGAAAGAATCACATTTAAAAGAGAGCAGAACGATGATAGGCTGACAATGAAGGAGGAACGCCATGCCATTGGTTAGATGAGTACCGCTGACGAGACAGCTGATTATCCAATGACAGCTGGAGAATAACAGGGGAAACGTGAGCGAGCGTGCAAAAAGGGAAGAATGAGAGAAAGACCCGATCGTGAAGGCAAATATAAAGTCTTCCTGACTGAACTTACACCAGAGCTTCATATCAGAGACCAACATGTTTTTAATGTTTGGCAGGGAAAACAAGTTTTTAACAACAGAAAAAGACTGAAAGAAAATCTGCAGCAATATCTTTTATTATCATTTATGGAAAACACACACAGGTCTTCATATCTGGAAATCTGCTCCTCATTTATTCAGACACTTTATGTGAAATCACAAGAAGACACACACTTTGAATGTTTAAGGCTTTATTGAAACACTAAATCTATATTTACAGACAGCTTCACAGAGAAACATTCAACATCCCACCAACCATTCAAGATCTTAACTCAAATAAAACTAACAACTTTTCTTTTCATCACATCAATGTGTGATCAGCTGAAGCATTTAAACTTAATATAAAAATATATATCACAGAAGAAAAAACAACATAGTCCTGATTACTAATGAAAAACCTTAAAACACAAACATTATAAATCTCTTGAGCCTCGTTTAAATCAACACACTTCATTACTTATGCAGAAATAAACAGTACTGAGGAGCTGGTGAATGGAGGCTATGGTCCTACAAGCGGGCGGACCAGGTTCAAATCCGACCTGTGGCTCCTTTCCTGCACGTCATTCCCCGCTCTCTCTCTCTCCCTGATTTCAGACTCTATCCTCTGTCCTATCTCTACAGTAAAGGTACCAAAAGGCCAAAAAGAAATCTTAAAAAAATAAATAAGCGAAACTATTTACACAACTGGAAAACAAAATGTTTAATGTTTGTATGTGTGTGTGTGTGTGTGTGTGTGTGTGTGTGTGTGTGTGTGTGTGTGTGTGTGTGTGTGTGTGTCTTTATTAACGTATTTATCACCAACATTTGTTTTAGCACAAAGCTCTGAACACCAGAAGTAGAAAAATCCAACTATGATGGATTTTAGATCAACACACAAATCTTTCTTCAACACATGAAGAGCGGCGTGATGCCGTCATAGATTCATCTTCTGATTCTCTTCTCTCCAGGTGACAAAAAATAAATCATCAAGATTTGTAAAGCATTTGTCAACTCTTTTTCAAACTTGTTTTCTTTGTATTTCAAAGATTTAAATTTAAATTCCCAACTCTGATCACTTCATGTCTGATACGATGAGAGCCAATGAATTCTGAGGAGAGCGTGTCGGTCTGCTCCTTGTTTCAGTGCAGAACGTACCCGTAAACCTTTAGAGAAAAAGACAGAAGAAAGAGAAAACATGACATTAAAAAATATTTATCATCACTTTTTTTACAGAATTTATCCACAAATCCAGGTTTTAACATCAAGGTCAAAGGTCACGGTGATTTCATCATTGAAGCACCTTTCTTTAAATCATCTCCCTTCACTTCAAATACACTTTTTCACTAAAATGAGTCATCAACTTTTTTACAATAACAAAGAAACGATCTCCTTTATGCAGTTTTATAATCAGATTTAAAGAATTACTGTAACAACCAAAAAGAAAAGAATAAGCTCGTATATGAAAACATGATAATAAACATGACAGGACTCAAAAACACGTTCACACACACACACGGTTTAAAAACTGTGTGTCTTCCTCTGATTCCTGATTCCTCTTCCCCATTCACCTGTGACTCTCTTTTCTCTCTGCCTGTAGCTGTGGTTACCGCCTCTGTCCAGGTGACGCAGCAGCAGAAGTAATGTTTACATGCAGTGTCTTCCTGACTTACCACACACACCACCAGAACAATGACTATATCCTGAATTAAAGGCTTATTTCATGTAACTCACTGGGTTCAGGGTCCTCTCTTTGTCTTTAGGTATTTTGATTTGGAAGCATCATTTGTTGCACAGCCGGGTCGTTTACCGCTGTAAGATCAGAAACACAATGTTAGCACACATCCGACTCTGAAACCATCATTTACACCAGAAAACACTCCAGAAACCCTTTTTCATTTACAGAGTTCATTTAAGGTCAAACTTAATATAATAAATCAAGTTCTACTTACGGGATGGAGGGCGTTTGGCTGAAACAGAAAAAAAAAGATTGTTCTAGATTTATTTCATTGAAGGTTATTTAAGGTCCCCTCAAGAGAACTATTCACCAGATGTAAATATAAAAAACATGTTTGAATGTTTCCACTTTGCTCTCTCACCATTTCTCTTCTTATACAGGCAGAATCCAGCCACACAGACGATGGTTACAAGAAGGAGAACAACAGCGATGATGACAATGATCATGTAGATGGGATTCACTGTTGAACACAAACAACACACAGTCACACAACCTGTGATCAAACAGGTTAAAGGTTCATTAAAGACAAAGTTTCTCCTTCTGTCAGTTAGCTCGTCTTCATCACTGTACCTTTGATTCATTTTCTACATGTAGTTGTTTTTTCCCTTCACCTTTATGTCTTTTATTTCCATGTTTGATTGTGGCACAATGGTAACCGCTAACGATTACATTCAAACCCTTTTTTCTCAATATTATTGATTTAAAGTAATTTAAAGGTTAATGCGGCTGCACTGTGGTAACGAGCGGACAGACGGTAAAAAACAAAACGATTCTGTCCATTAATAATCTCTTTAAAGATCTCTGTGTTTGTTTCATCCTGATCCAAACCTTTAAACTCTTTTTCTGAATACTTTTACAATTTGAAGAGTTTGAAAGAAAGAAAAAGTCACAACTAAACTTTCCCTCCATCACACGACTGTTACAGTCAAATCCTCTCTTTCATCACTTCTCATCGAGGTCTTACCGTAGTTGGTCTTGATCTCTCGTTTGTCCAGTTTGGTGACGATGTCCTCCTTCACACCAGAGAGCTGAAACACACAGTCGTACTTCCCCCAGTCATCAGAGGGCAGTTGAAGGTCAGCGCTGATCTGGAAGGAGCCGTCGTGGTTGGGGAGGATCTCTCCTTGTCCACGTCCTCGTGAAGCTCCTCTCCATCTTTCCTCAGAACATCATGGCTCTGTTGGGGTAGAACCTGTAGCGTGGCAGGTGACCGAGAGGAGGGAGTCTTCTGGAGGAGAGACACTGTGGGGAGGTCTGGAGGACAAACAGGAAGACAGATTAGAGTTTCTTTATCAGGATTTACTCTTAAATACTGTTACAACTCATGTTTGATGACACTTTTTAAATGTACTGGGAAAAAAAGGGACTTTAAAATCCAGTGAGTCAACAATGAAAATCAACCTTATTAAAGTATAATTCAAAGAAGAGAGGGTCAGAGGGAAGAAACAGAAGAAGAGAGGTGAGGGGGGTTCAGATGGATTGATGAAGAAGAAGAAGAGGAGAGAGAGAAAGTAAATAAAAAACAGAGAAACTTTGAGAGAGAGCGATGAGCAGCAGAGAGAAAGAGATCTAACATGAGGGAAAGGTAAGGGGAAGCTTAAAGATGAAGACAGAGCATGTGTGATAGAAACATGTGTGAAATATTTATTGTTCAATTACAAGATAAACAGAAAGAAGAAGATGAACATTGTCAGAATTCAACTCCATCAGGTCATTTGATCTACTGTTTCTCAGAGAGCTCCTCCCATAGTTCACAAACTTCTT